GGTTAGACAGTGACACGGTCTGGGTCCTGTCACTCATGCTTTTGAGTGTGAAATCAAATCTTTGTTCCTGTTAATGAATGTGAGGGAGGGAAGGAACAAGGAAATCTGGATATGAAACAATATCCCATGAAACTGCATTTTGATGCAAAGTGCCACCTCAATTATGCAGCAATTATGGCTTCAATTGGGCCCAGAGTATATTTTCCTTCAAGATTTTTTAAAGGTAGTCAGGTGCACCATATTCACATCTGTCCCAGTGGAAACGATTCACGGTGATACAAGAGCAGCTGAGAACCTGCCCAGCAAATTTTTCACAGAAACATTTCTAAACCTGTTATTCAAGACACTGGTCAACAAATTCTAGAGATGAAATTCATGATGAAAACTGATTTCCTAAAGGAACTATGGCTGTGTGGGGGGGCTGTATTATGTCCTCTACTCTTATTGTTTTCTGTAACAAGATATCTTGTGGCTGATGCAGCTTTACCGTGGCTGAAGTTTGAATTAGTGAGAAGTTGATAAAAAGTAAGGATACTTATTTTTGCAAAGTCAAAAAGACAGTAGACTAATGTCTCTAACTGAAACACTAGAGTACCTGAAACATAGAATTAATGCTTCTTCCCATAAACTTTCAGCATAAGGTTTCTTAGTTTAAGCTACAAGGTAAACGCAAGCTTGCCAAGAGCTTAAAGTTCAGAAATACACATGCCTGTTCAGGTGTTACAATAATTACAAGGAAAATGAAATGTTTTGCTTTTTATTTGCTGTCATAATCACTCAGAAATAACTGAAAATGTCAGTGGACTGCTAAATATGTCTTGCCTCTTAGCAAATTGACGGGTGGTGTTTGTGAAGATTGGAAGGAGACCTATTATTTAAAAGGAAGAAGTGCAAGAGGAGTGATGATATGGCGTGATGATACAGAATGATGACATGCTCCAGGTAAAGCACCTTAGTCTATAGTCATAATACAGGAATATAGGAAATGAATATCAGGAGAGATGGCAGCATAAAAAATGAATTTCAAAAAAACAGAATCAACAAAAATGCAGAAACATATTTTTATTTACTTTGTCTTAATAAAAATTTCACTCAAAAGTCAGTTGCACGATGCCTGATAGACTGGTATAGGCAATAGTTAGTGGAAATATTGAAGTATGGACTAATTCAATTGCTGCCTTATATTTGAGTTTGAAGCAGTGCGTTTCAAACCTGGGCCTCAGAAAGGCAGTTCTGTTGAGACGGACAGGGTGAAGACAGGCAGGAAATATGACACTGGTTCAGGCTGACTTGCAAACATTCTAGGTAGCACATCAACTACCCCTTCACCTCTGCCTCTGGTCATAGGAAACCTGCTTTAGCTATACTGGCAAGCTGACACCTGCTTTCCATATCGCCTTTTTGCTGAGCCCTCACACATCTGCAGATGCAGTAATAATCACACCTCACACCAATTTCAGTCTTTGATGCCAAAATCCAGCTTTCCTCTCTACCAAGTCTTGAATTTAAAAACATTTCCCAACATATGTAAGCAACAGCTGGAGCCAACTAGAGATCGTTTCACACTGGAGAGTTTCCATTACAAAGTGTCTATCCTGCTGAAGTAGTAGTCGACACTCGCAGCTTTCTTCTTCTCCCTGCTTCCATTCCGGGGGTCATTAGATGTATGAGGCTAGTTCAAACAGAAACAGTATATCTCTGAATTCACCAGCTGCAGAAAAGATCAGCATGACAAACACCTGTATCATGATGGCTGCCTTCTGTAAAGACTCAGACTCAGAAACACTTTATTCACCAGATATGTCAAGCCAAGGGCTTAACTTTGGGTTGAGCATTGGGGAGCTTGAGGTCTCCACCCATTTAAGGAGGTCCAGGGGGTTATATTGACTGGTTTTGAAGACTGGGTTACAACCCCCCATCCTTCCATAATTTACGCCCATGCATCAAGCGTACTAAGATTTTTTTTATTAAGCTACAGATAAGCTCTTATAAACTTCATAAGTACACTGGATGTGTGTCTCTGGGTCCCATTCCCACCTCACTGATTAAACGATGCTCATATGCACTGATGCAGTGTATTACCAATTTCGATTAACAAATCTCTTGAGGAGGGTGAAATCCTATCTATGTTCAAAGTAGCTGATACCAATCGCTTACTTAAGAAAACAAATCACGATCACAACGTATTTTCCTGCTACAGGCCCATCACAAACCTTCCTTTTATAGCGAAAGTACTCTAAAAGGTTCAAATTATTGTCTCACGTGAGCTCCCATAATCTCATATGAGATCCCAAAACAGGGTTTTCTGTTGTTAAATCATAAAGACGTTTAAATGTAACTAAAATCCCAGATTATATTGTGTTGAACAATGTAGCAATAAATACAAAAGTGATGTACAATGATGTATTCTGAGAGAATCAGTGTTGGTGCAATTTTTCTGTGCACAGATACAGTAAATGGGAATGTCTCTGAGTCCAGGAAATGACACTGTAACCATACACCAATTCTAGCAACATCATCAGGAAATGGCTGGGCTTGCCTTGATGTCTTTCAGATGCGACAGTGTTTTGGGAGGAATGCATTACAGCTGCCATTAAAGTCCTTCACTAGGGGCTACAAGCAGGAGTAAGTTAGACTGCTGTTTGAGCTACAGGAATAAACGGACTCGCCTGTGAGGATTAGAAATATCCATGTCTGGTTAGGTTGTGCTAGGAAAGCAGAGGAAGTGCTTAACCAGGCTGTTGCTAGGTCGAGGCAATAGGAGACTGTCAGTAGAAATTAGCTAGGAGAGGCGGCCGATAATGGGAAGGAATAGCAGCCTCCAGAAAAGAGAAAAAAGCAAACGTGATCGTAAAAGTAACCAGGATGGAGGAAGAATGATACAAGATCAAAGCAGTTAGCCAGTGATTACTTGGCCTCTGGACAACCTGGAGGGCACATTTCATAGAAACTGACCTGTAGGAATAATACCCTCCCAAGCCCTGACTACCAGTCCCAATGGTATGGCATCAAAGTGGAGTGATCCTTCTGACATTCTGTCAGGCTGCAAGATAGTCTTAGCACACAATGTGACAACATAACTAACATTAACATCTAAGGAGAATGTTTGCTGAATAAAGCTACATTTGGAGTGTCCACTTCTTAATGGCATGGTACCTTGTTGAGGTGAGGAGGCTTATATGCACAAAGAAAGCTAATTGTTACACTGATCAGCCATAACCGTAAAACCACTGACAGATGACATTGATCCTGTTACAATGGCACCTTTCAATGGCTTCATTATATTTTAGGCAAGTGAAGAGTCAGTTCTTGAAACTGATTGTTGGAAGCAGGAAAAATGAGCAAGTGTAAGAATGTGAGTGACTTTGCCAAGGAGCAAATTGTGGTGACCAACTGGGTCAGAGCATCTCAAAAACGACAGGTCTTGTGGGGTGGTCTCAGTATGCAGAGGTCAGTATCTACCAAAAGTAGTTCAAGGAAGGTCAACCGGTGAACTGGAGATGGGATCATGGGTGCCCAAAGCTCATTGATCTGCATAGGGAGCAAAGGCCAGCCAATCTAGTCCCATCCCACGAGAGCTACTGTAATACAAATTGCTAAAAAGTTTGTGCTGACTATGATAGAAATGTGTAAAAACATACACTGCATCACAACTTGCTGCGTATAGGGCTGCGTCGCCGCAGACTGGTCAGGGCGCCCATGCTGACCCCTGGGAAGAAGGCAAGCTGGTGGAGGCAGTGTGATGATCTAGGAAATGTTCTGTGGGGAAACCCTGGGTCCCACCATTCATGAGGATATTACTTTTACAAATACTATCTTGTGATGGACAAACAAGTCTGATCCATGGAGGCCCCAACTTACAACTAACAGGACTTAAGGGATCTGCTGCTAACATTTTGGTACCAGATACCACAGGACACCTTCAGAGGTCTTGTGGAGTCCATGCATCGGCATGTTAGAGCTGTTTTGGTGGCACAAGGGGTACCTATACAATATTAGGTAGGTGGTTGTAATGTTATGGCTGGAGTTCTTCTATTAGGGCCATCCATGGTAAACAGATTTTAGCGGTCAAAACCTACAAATAAAACTGGGGGTGACCGCAACATGAGAATAATAATTGTAATAGAGTCAATCCTTTTTTTGTCACTGTACTTAGCAGTACTATGAGATTGGGATGGCAGCTCCCGAGAGGCACAGACTAACACGATAGAATAGAAGATAAGTGACATTTAACAACCTGTACAAATTTGGAATAGTCAATAAATATGTGTTCATCAATAATAATAATAATAATAATAATAATAAATATTTTTTTTAATATATATTTTGGTACAAAAAAATCGATTGAGAATTATTACTTACTAATTAATATTAGCCTATTTGCCTTATTCAGATATGTTAGGGTGACCAGATAATCCATGTCAGGGAGGACACTCTGAGCTAGGACAGGAATTGTAAACTACCATTTAAATTAAAAGGACCCGAATTTCACTTGAGCAATGAGTTCTTGCTGTGTGCTGATTGGTCAGTCTCCTATAATCATGCATGTGTCACTAATGCTAATGTGAAACAGCTGGATGAGTCTTTCAGTCAAGGAAACAAACCAGTCAAAGCACAAGAAGAGCTGAACTATTTAGCTGAGCACAGGAGCCTTTCAATTTGAAAGTAGTTTGTAAAACCCGAAGTAGCTCAAAGTGTCCTCCCTGACATGGATTATCTGGTCACCCTAAGATATGTATTGAATCAATTTGTCATCAATCTGTGTTTGTCAAAATAAACTAACAGATATATCTGTATCTATTTTATTTTATGAGAAAAAAACTGTTGATTTGAAACTTTCTGCAGATAACACGAAGGCTTAACATTTCTTTAACCCTGTGCAAACGGAAGAGCAGCAGCACAGCTTACGGAACTTCGCGCTGGCTCGCCGGCGTTTGACTCTCGCGGCAAAGCCGCGCTGTGACGTAGCGTTCTTTTCGTTCCGGAGTCGTTTCCGTTTCCTGGGTCGGCGCGTGCTGCTTTTTTTTTGTCTTTTTTTGAGATACTGGTCTTCGCTGTAGGAATGATGATGATGGCGGAGCTGGTGCAGGGGCAGGCCTCGGTGGCTCAGTCCGGAATGAAAGCAGACGGCTTCGCCGACGCTTTACACCGGGCTCGACAGGTAAAACACGCAGGGAAATTACCGCACGAATCATACCGCCCCGATTCAGGACTTTTGGATTTTTTGTATCCAACATACTTTTTTAATTTGGAAAACATTTCGTTAACTAGCCAACTAGCTCGTAAGTGTGTCTGACAAGTCACAGTCACAGAAGGCATGCTGTGCATGCAGATTTAGTAAACTGGTCATGACTTCATGACACAGCGGGGACAGCATGTTCTGCGCTCAGGGAACACGGATCCATAGCTGGTTAGCTCGTGTTAACGGCAATATCAGTGACTTGAGACGCAAAATGTGACATGTTTGTTAATATGAAGGCAAAGTCATGGGGCATGCACCGATGGCCGTGGCCTAGGTCAGAGAAACCGATTCAACTTGCTTGCTGTCACAAATTTAACCAGGATATATGTACTTGAGAATAAATTAAGGAATCTACTCGTGACATGGTTTGTTAGCTTGTGAACCAGCCGTTATGCTGCCGAGTGTGGTAAAATACAGCGGTACAAGAAGTAACAGGACAGACGGAAAGCAACAAAAATCTTAAGTTTCAAAGCATCCTTATGCGTATAGTCAATATTTTATTACGCTAATAACTATAAGCAATCTTCTCCCTCCCTCCCCCGTACGAATCAGTTCAAATGCAAATCATTTTTTTTTGTAAGTTTCATTAAGACATGTTTGTTAATTTGCTAATTAGACTAACTGAAAACTTAAGATATTTGAGAAAATGTGAAGGGCTGTCCAAAACATACCCCTTAAGACCAACGTGTCACCAGTGTCATAAATCCCAAGGAGGAGTGTTGTAAGGATTTTGAATTATAATGCCCTATATTCTTTAAGCCAAGTAACAGGAACGTGTATACTTAGACCCTGTTTTATTTCAAGGTTTCCAGATAGATTTTGAGCATCCCCCCACTTATCATTTACTCTTTTCCATCTGTTCATATACCCCCTTTTCACACAGCAGATATGAATATATGATGATGGATCCAGTCCCAGTCAGTTTCAGTTTGAGTGTTATTCATGTTTTCACATAGGAGGAAGCTAAACTTTTTATTTGTATTTCTTGAAAGGTTTCTGTTTTATCATTCCAATAAATCGAACTTTGTGTCTCTTTTGATATAAATACGAAGGCACTGGCACACAAGGCTTGGCCACTAATGAAACCTGGACAACAAACCAGCCTCCTAAACATTCCTGGATACATGTTACATTACAGGAAGATGGCAGTACCTTGCAATGCAGTCTGGCTAAAGTGAAAGAATTGCAAGGAAAGGTGTCACTGTCTGTACACAGACTGAATGGGCAGTCTTCATTGGAAACAGCTCGTCGTCTTTATAAGTCATGATGCCTTGTTTTTATTTTTAAAAGTTATCCTTTATGAATAGGGCAGTTTTCAGCCTGTTATTTTTTTAGTTATCTCTGCAGATCTCATCCTTCCCCTGCTATGAATTGGCTCTGAAGAATTGTGATGACAATAAATATTCTTTACTTAACTCTTTGTGTACCCAGATCCTAATTACTTATAACAGTTGTCAGATAAATAGTGTCATTATTCTCATTTATTAAAAAAATAACCAAAATCATTTGGAAAAGCCAAATTTATTCATCGAATTATCTCCTCAAGCATAGTTTTTGCCACCTGGAAATGTTAGCTAGCTTAATTAGGCAAAACTTAATTACTAGCAGTTTCATTTTAAGTGTGAAGATTGGCACCATGATTAAACTTAATATCCACATTTAAGGTGACTTTGTTCAGATTCACTGTCTAATGAATTTCATGTAGATGCATGAAGTTGTATTGAGGAGTGTTGTTTTACCGTATTTGCTAAGGAGCAATTTATGCAAAAGTGGTATTTAATGAGTGATATTTTCCTCATGGCAAATTTTAGATGTTACTTTTTCTCTCTCTAGAGTTGTTGTCAAGTATTCTAGTACGGTTGTATAGGTGCTTGAGGCTTTTTTTTGACATAATGTTCAACCTCTTGAAATAGTCATGGGTTAAAAGATAATATACATTTTTTTTAACCCAAAATTTGCATTTGTGTTTTACAAATGTAACACTGTGCTTTGTTTCTTGGTTACACTTTCATGCGAGCAATTTTTAAATAATACTTATTAAATACTCAATAACTCGTTTAATCCGCTTTGTCCTTATTTGGTGAGCCACTTCTCTCTCGTGGTGTTAATGTTTGCCATCCTCATCTCTTTCCGTTTCATGACCCTTCATTTTCAATAAATACCATATGCAGTGAAAAAGTCCTTTTAGCCTGAGATTCTTAAATCGTTTCTGTTGGACTTGTTTGGTTATAGCTCAGATCATAACCTTGATCATGGCTCTCACCACTGCTATTTCTCCATTTGTGAAGAAATTTGTGTCTTTGGGGAGAAGTTAGCTCTCAGAGCTTGCTTTAGTGTTGTGTCAATGCCAAAATTTACAAGAAAAGTGTACTCAACACAGATAGATAATGTAACTCAGTAAAAATGTTATTTCAATTTTGTTTGCAGTAAAAGCTGTACAACCTTTTGTAAATGCATGACACTGTATTTAATATAAACCTTCACATTGCATTGTCAAAGCATAATAATGTTAAGTACAGTAGTAGCTTTTGTAATAGTACTGTAGTTGTGTTCAGAGACATTAGTGAGCAGTAACATTATTAAAAATTAGATGTTACTGTATATTAGTACAATTCATAATAGTCCAGATATACATTACTTTTACATACCGTCTTTAATGTGGAAATGTTTAACTGACTACAAAACCCATAGAAAAAAAACATGTCACATCTCTGCTTCCACTGCAACAGACTCATACAGATTAATATTTCATTAATTCAGAAATAAGATACCTGTATCGCAACAGTCTTTGTGTTGGCCCTTTAAATGTTTAGCTAAGTTCGTGGTGTTTGTCCCCTTCGTCAGTAACTTGCATACAGGCTTGTATATGGTCTTCATTTGGCACAAAGCCAGTTATTTCTAGTGAACAGGAATTGCAGGCTATAGAATGGAAACTATGAAAAAATCAGTATTGAACTATTGATACCCTTATGTGCATGAAGTATTGATACTTTCAGTGCTTTCGATCTTTTTGACAACACTACTTCAGTTAGTCATTTAATACTTTAAAATAGTTGTTGGGGGTCGTTTCTAGTTTTTGATTAAATGAAATAATGACCACTGTATCATTCATTCAAAACAAGTGCTCAGCTGATGGTGTTTTAAAGGTGTAGTTTGTTGAATAAATAGGTCAATATTGCATCATTAAGAGCTCAGCAGGAGCAGATGCAAAGACTAAAGAACCTGCAGTCTACATGTTAACGTTCATACTGTGAATTTGAGCAACAGCTAGCTGCAGTCCACATGGTAACGTTCATACTGTGAATTATTTGAGCAACAGCTAGCTGCAGTTCTCATGCAGTCCATAGTACTTTGCATACTTAAACAGCACCATTTTTCTTTAGGCAGTTTCATAGAATAATTACGGTAGATGGCAGTAGATGTAAATCAGCATTATTTTCTTTTAGTATGGTGTCTCGTGTAGGTTATTTGTATTGCTTGGTTATTCGTATTATACAGTGGCCACCTGACTATTATGATGCTGATTTTCTTTGGCAACAAAAATGATCTCATTTACAGGTATTGACAACTTTTGGGGGGAAAAAAAAACTGGGAACGTGTTTCTTCACTGGGCAGAAGTTCATAGCACAGGGCAACTTTTTCAAGTTGACTATCCCAGCATATCAGCATAGCTTGTGTGCCAATTCAGGAATACCAAATTAAATTTTATTCTTCAGTGTTGTTCTAAGTAGTTCTGGAGTTTATTAGTAACCTAGCAACTGTAATGTGAATATAAGAACAGAAAAAAGATTCGGGTACCAGTCACAGAAGGTGACAATCAGCCAACTATAAAAATGTGTTCATGTTTAAAGTATCTAGGATGAGAAAACCTATTTCAATCTGGTTTAGTGTCTTAATGGCTTATTTCCTTTTGAATGTAAAGGTCTGACGTTGATGAAGGTTGCTGTACAGCTGACTCTGCGTTTCATTCATGGCTTCAGTCATTATAGACATGCTTTACTTTGTGTGGTTTTATGTGCTTTCATGATGTGTTAATACCTTCATTTATGCTTAAATGTATTTTTTGGTCAGTGTAGGCGCAACGTCTGTGCATGTTGCCATTATAAAGTGCCGTGACCTTAATATCTTTAGATATTGAACTTGTGAATGGATGATGTACAAGGCTTTCAGACCAATTTTTGGTTATAAATATTTTTTATGGCAACCAAGAAAAACAATATTTAGATGTTTGAATAGGATCATTAACTGAGTGTCAAAGGGTATGAATTAAATATCAGCATTTCTAGTTCAGGTTTCATGAGAGTGGGAGGAAAATGCAGGCACTTTACAGCCCTCAAATTATTCTGCATTCCGCATTTTATTTATTTCGCCCCAGTATTCATCTGTAAACAGATGTTTTTGTATAGCCAGTAGGCAGATCACTTTGAGTCATATGTAGGACAAGTGGGTACTGAAAATGGATGGATGGATAGTTTGACATTTTTCATGAACTATCACCGATTGACAACTTAGAGCCAGAAATAGTTTGCAAGGTTTAAATTTTGACAGTGTTGGTAACTAAAAATCCTGCTGTTCTTTTTATCCTTGCTGATGTTTACTATTAGTAATGTCCTTGACACAAACGGTTGTTGTCAAGTTCCTAAAAGCACGCCTCTCTGTTTCTCCGCTTTGGTGTCATTCATCAGGAAAGCCTGCAGCTCTGCAGTGCAGCTTAAAGAACTCGCTGGAAGCCGCATAATATCGGTTCTGTCTTCTCGTGATGCAGCTCCGCACAGCAAGCCCTCAGTTAGCTTGTGTTTACCTATTGAGGGTGTTTTCTTGGCTTTCAGAGCATCCTCCACCCAATGCATAATTTGGTCAGTACTCCTACATTGCTGACATTCCATTAGTGCATACCTGAAGAAGGTGGTTTTGCTCAAGGGGGGGGTAGTGCTATAGCTTGGTACATCCCCTTGCTGGTCTCGCAGCGATCTGCCGTCTCACTGGATTTCTGCTGGATTTCTTCTGTCTGTGTTTGCCAGAATAATAGCATGCATCTTTAAGCACGATTGTAGCTTTTATTTTTATATGTCATATTTAAAAATGCCATTTATTTTGATCTAAAAAGAACCCAATTTTCTGTAATTTTCCAAAAACCTGTGTAAAGGGGAGAAGGCAGTACAGTAGCTACAAAAGCCCACAGTATCAAATTTTAATTGCAGTCCTCAGTGACTAATTACACTTGAAGGTAGAATAATCATTGGTTTTTCTACTGAACCATCTTTCAGGTTTAAATGTTCCTTCCCCGGCCTTCATAATTGGTGTCACGAAATAAACTGAAGCAGAACATACTCTTGTGAGTGTTTTTTATTGTGCAGATATGTATGTTCTAAAGGAACCAGGTATTAATATTCAATTTTTTTTATTCATTATGCAAAAATATAATTCTAGATATTTACCAGACTAGTACTAACCCTGGATTGAGGTGACCCAGTTGCCTTTTAACTATTTTTTGACACTTATGACTCAGACGTGTTTCATATATTACTGTATGTCTATTTAGTGGTTGTTGTGGCTGAAGTGTGTTTATAGTAAGATTATACTAAAAAGCTTCTCGGATGCCTTGAAAAGATATACTATAATGGCAGTTGAAGCAGAATGTAGATTTTGCTATCAAGCACTAATGCCAAAGTAGGCCTACTTTCAAATGTCATTCTATCATCTTTTTTTTTTATTTAATTGCTTTCCATCACAGCACCTTGTCTCTGACCTCCTATATCATGCATTACGAATCCAGTGCAATTAAATCTCTAAACTGAGGTGCTGGAGTATATTAAACATTGATGGTGAGCGAGAAGCAGTTTCAGGGGATCTGTTTATGGTGTTTCCATGATGGCTGTGTGGAAACTGGTGCTTTTATGAAGGACACGTACGATGGAGAGTATCCCCAGGACCGCGACATGCTTGGGATGACATCACTGAGTTAGTAACATTGTTCACAGTAATGGTTAGGGGGCAGGGGCAGAAAATTGGAAGAAAGAGAGAAAAAAATGTCTGACTTCATTGTGGTGATCTTTACAGGATAATCTCGTATCTGGTTAGATGTGACGGCTACAAGGAAAGGAACATATGGTGAGGCGCTGGAGAAGGTTGGAAGCCATATGGAACGGAGATACTAGAAGGTTCCTTAACGGGTCCTTCTATGCAGGAGTAGGAGTGAGGAATAAGATCTTCTGGCATAAAAAGAGCATTCAGACATTTATAAGAACTGGTTGGGCACAGTAGCGATGTCAATGAATACACATGTAGTACGCAAGAAGTAAAATGCAGACACAGCTGGTCACCGAATAGCAGCAAGCAGTACCTGCTAAATTCTTTTTATTTGCCTTCAACTGGATAATTCTTTACTCTTTCAATTCTGCACCGAGTTGCATTTTTCTTGTGTCGATCTTTACACTGGGTTTGTTCAACATCTGAATTGTAGTTACTGAACTTAACATCCACGATGATTTAAATCCTGTCGGCTTTCCCGTTGCTACTGTAGTTTACGCGCCTCGTGCCGTGTTTTTATTTTATTATTATATAGTTCTTGTCTCTTAGCTGAAGCCACATACAGTTTTTACCCATTTGTAGCGTTTTACTAGAGAAATTCCTGCTACATGCATTAAGGACCTTGAACCTTCCGGGTATGAATGTTTGTCCTTAACCACCTTAATGTGTTGAAGTAATCTTGTAAAATGGGCTTTATGTCCAGCTGATACCAGAAGAATTTGTATTGTGTGAAGACCTTGTAATGGCACCTGATACATTAAAGAATCCTGTCTGTCTTCCTTCAGATTGCTGCAAAAATGGGCGTTGACCCCCACATGAATAGCTCGCCGTCCGCTGTCGACGCTTCCCTCTACAGCTTCGCAAGTCAGAAACGCACCCTAGAGGACGGAGGTAAGATGGTTGATTGCACCCTGCTTAGACTTTGGGTTCTCCATGGTGTCATATGTGGATTATACAACAGTTCTGCTTGGTTTGTTACGCGAGAGGCTGTTTTTTTAGTATGGAAATGGTAGGATTTCATACCTCTGCTAGCAGTTTTTAATGTCAGTTGAGGAGCAAACCATAGCTGGCATTGGGGCTTTGATCCCCATGCCTGATGTTGAGTTTCATAATTATTCTGTAGTTAACACCACAGTTTGGATGCAGATGAGGTGAAATTTAACTGTAACTGCAGCCAAGGCATGCAGTGAACTCCTGGCTCAGTTGAAATCCCATCCGCTCCACACACGTACGCTCTGTCCTGGCCTGTTTTGCTGCCTGCAAATTCTTCATTTAAAGCCCCTTTCTGAACACGGCCGCGTTCGAGTTACCAGATGATACTGCAGCGAAAGGTCGGCCTGCTCTCAGATGAGCCCGGCAGGCTGCCAGTTATACGCCTGAGCTCCAAGCCGGGTCCAAAAGGACGCAAGGTGTTACCCTGATGAAGTATTTCAAAGGAATCAATAAAATATTTATTTCTCATGTTTTTATGGGATCTATTTACAGGACCTTTTGTGCAGAAATAGGGACGCAGTGTCCCGTTTGGCCTGTGTCTGCCTTTTGAGCAGGCAGACCTGATGGTTATGTTGATGTTCATAACACGGTAAACATTCAGCAGCAATTTCACAAACACCTGCCAAATATTGATTCATTGTAGCCTTGCTCCCTAATCTCTTCTGTACTGAATTACTTTAGAGCAGAAATACTACTGTATCGTCTTATAATGTAAAACTTCACTGGATATATAATTTACTGCGGTACTTCTGTACTTAAAGCCAGATTTCGGACATGTGTAGAGCATGACGTATTTGATGGTTAATTATGTCTCTAACATGCACACATTTTAATGAAGCGTACCCTATGCTCTACTTGCTGTGTACATATATGTACTTGATGTGGTGATTTTCGTAATAGGGGAAATGTAGTCATGCAGTGCAGACAGGGAATCTCCACACCACTGGGCAGATGGAGCAGCATCTGCGGCATCGGGAGCTACCAAGGGACGGTGTAATCGGCAAAAAAATAAAAACACACGACAGATAATGCTAAAATGCCATTTTCACCTTGGGTAGCTGTAACTTAACATGTTTATACCTGAAAGGTCATAAATTTGGGTTGGATCTGGCTTATCTGCACTTAGCTCCCCTTGTTATGAGCATTTATGAATATTCATTGAAGAAATCTGATCAAATTTTCCATATGTTGGTATTAAAAAATAAACGAACGGGCTGGAAACAGACTTTCCTTTGCTAGCTAAATACAATGGAACAGCACTGACAATGAAGTGATTTAGTTTCAAAGCTCGGTAAATATGATTTATTGTAATGATGTAAGCTGTCGGCTGATTGTCTTTTCCATGTCTTTTCCATTCATCTTTCCCAGCTTGTAATGCAGCTGACCTGCTGTATCTTGTCGTTTTCTTCATTTCATTTTGCTTATGCTCCATTCATGCCTGCTCTGATCTGTTCAAGCCCTAAATGTTTCTGCCATCTGCAGACTTTGGTTAGGCTTTTTACAGCACCATTGAAAAACGACACGTGCCACTAAAATTCTCTATATTTATTCCTGTAATTATATAGATGCAATTCTGGTTCATTTTGTAGCTTAAGGGAAAGGAATATCAGTGTGTTCTATTTCCTCTTCTTTATATATTTTTATTGCAAGCAAGTGTTTTTGTAACTGTGCTACCTGCTGTGCTTTGTTCCAAGTGGGTTTCTTCTTATTGGCCCTATTGTGGGTTTGCTTCATAAACGTAAGTACTGTACTTTGTACTGTACAAAGGAACGCTTTCACATGCTCTGCCCTAGAAAACCAATCAGTAGGTAGTGTGTAAATAATTCCCTCCTGTATGTGTGCGTGGTGTGTCTGTGTCTGTGTGTGTGTGTGTCTGAGTCTGTCTGTCTGTCTGTCTGTCTGTGTGTGTGTGTGTGTCTGAGTCTGTCTGTCTGTCTGTCTGTCTGTCTGTCTGTGTGTCTGAGTCTGTCTGTCTGTCTGTCTGTGTGTGTGTGTGTGTGTGTGTGTGTCTGTCTGAGTCTGTCGGTCTGTCTGTGTGTGTGTGTGTGTCTGAGTCTGTCGGTCTGTCTGTGTGTGTCTGTGTGTGTGTCTGAGTCTGTCGGTCTGTCTGTGTGTGTCTGAGTCTGTCGGTCTGTCTGTGTGTGTGTGTGTCTGAGTCTGTCGGTCTGTCTGTGTGTGTCTGTGTGTGTGTCTGAGTCTGTCGGTCTGTCTGTGTGTGTCTGTGTGTGTGTCTGAGTCTGTCGGTCTGTCTGTGCTCACATGCTGTGAGACGGGTCATGTCCTGTTTTCCACGCTTCAGGCTGTCGACGTGTCGTCCCCTTTCCATTTTAAAAGCTTCAGCATTCTCCTCCTTCGGCCTGCTTTGTACAGAGATGCAGATCCCTTCTCTAGTCGCGGCAGAGGTTTTTTGCTATGTTTCTCCCCCCCCCCCCCCCCATTTTCTTTCTTTGTGAGTCGTAATTCCAGGGTTAGGGCACGTCCCCGTAGGCCTTGTATCACATTCATTACGGGATTGTTCAGATGTTTCGCAGAAAGTGAAGGGTAGGCTGGCGAACCCCTGAGAAGCTGCCCTGTCCTTTGGCTCTGGCATCCTTTTAGCTGCTGATTTACACCTGGAAGCCCAGGTGAGCTGAGCTGCTTGTCAGATAACTCTGACGTCAGGTCGCTACCCACTGAGGCCTTTGTGTGTGTGAGAGTCATTTCGCTGAAAAGCCAGCCTTAGTTCTTGCTGAACATATGGAAGCTAATTGCGGTGATGAATGGTGGGGCTCACGCTGGATTGGCGGGAGGCTAAGTGCCAACCTCAGTCAGCGACGTCTCTGCCATGACCTACAGCCTTTCCAGACGGTGGGCGAATACTAACACCGGCTTCATCTTACTGCCTTTGCTGCACCGCAGAAAGAGCAGGATTTAGATAAAATATTATTTGGGGGATTGCCAACTTCCCCACGTGCAGTCTTAATGTCAGGTGCATCGAGAAGTTCTTGTACTTGCTGTAGGTGCACGCATCCTCTGAAGTGTCTCTGAAATGCACACATTTTTCCCTCTTTCTCCCCCCCCCTTTCTGTGACAGACCATCCGGATTATTTAAAAAAATAGCGACTACCCCGGATCGTAAGTAGGGGCTCTGCCTTGCCTCCACCTCGTGTTTCCCGTCTACCTGTCCTGTCTGCTCTACCTGTCCTGTCTGCTCTACCTGTCCTGTCTGCTCTACCTGTCCTGTCTCTGCTCCTGCCCATCCCCCGTCTATAGACCGGGAGGAAGACTTCACTGCATGACATTTTCAGCCTTGCAGCTTTTCTGTGTATGGAAAGACTTTTGTTTTGCTGGAGAACATCCCCCCCCCCCTTTCCCGAATTACCTTCTTTTCAGTTTTATTGAGCTTGTGATGTGAAGATTTGGTTCAAGTTGGGACTGTTTGACTGCTGTTTGTTTTGGTGTTTGTGGATCTTGTGTTTCCTGTCGTAAATAGTTTTATATAAATAGATTTTTTACATTATTGTGTATAAATGCTAAAGTCCTTCATGTTTGGGTATTTCGATTTTTTCGATATACTTTACGCTCTTATGTCTGCAATGACGCTGATATTCTCTGAGTGGATGGGAAAATGTAACTTTAGGCATAAAGAAGGTTTGAGTGTGAGGGGATCATACTGTTGGGAATATTTACAGCAGGTCATTTAACTTTAAAAAAAAAAATACAGGATTTAGATTCTTTGTGTAAGTTTTCCTTTGAAAGCTGCTTGGAGTCTCGAATTCCCCTCTGTCGAGCACTGCAACTCGAAAGACGTCTTTACTTTTTTAAATAAAAAAAAATCTTTCCTCCCCCGTGACTGAAGACAAAGTGTAGCTAAGCCAGAGACAATCATTGGTTGCTTTAGAGACGGGGGTTTAGATATTTAAAAAGTATTAATCCCCCCCCCCCACACCCCCGTATGAATCTTCCCACGTTCAGACAGTCTGAATGTTGTAAGAAACGGCGCTTTGCAGAGGACCAGCAGGGCAGTGCCATCATACCGCACAAAGGCGTTTGTCACTCAATGGCAACTTAAATCCACCTCCTATCCCCCAGCCAGCCTGTTTAAGACCCACTGGCTCTCCTTCGCAGCACGACGGGGGCGCCCCACGCCGGAGGGCCGCCTGGGACAGGCCTGGGGGCTTTGGCTCCATCCCTCCCTCCTCCTAGCTCCTCCTTTCATCGATTTCCCAGCCCACATTGGGAGCGTCTCGCCCCAGACGACTCCCTGTCCGGCCTTGCTCACATCTCCTGCACTCACG